TTTCCGGAGGGATCAGCCCCGCCCCCGTCTACCAGGCAGGCCTCTGCCCCCTCTGAGCGCCGGGCAAGGCTCCTGAACGAATCCCGTCTCCACCTGGCGGGGCCACGGACCCGGGGCTGCACCTCCTCCAGCGACGCGAAGGACATGATGTAGGAGTGGGCCACCGTTCCCCCCACCGGGATCCCGAACAGCTTCCCTGCCAGGACGTTGCTGGTGCTGTCAAAGCCTGGAATGGAGAGACGGGCACGTGGGCGAGGGCAGCACAGCCACCCCGGGAGCCCAAGGGGCGGGGATGCCCCGGGGCGAGGAGCTGGCATGCCGGCTGGGCTCCCGGGCGAGCTCACCCCCGACGTAGGAGTACTTGGAGGCGGAAAGGCCCCCATCCGGGCCCTGGGCGCGACGCAGCCCCATTTCCATCAGCTTCTTGTCCGGGCCAGCGAGCATCCGGAACCGGGCAGCGTTGGTGGCCACCAGGCTGGAAAAGGAAAACCCCGAGTACTCCCTGAGCACGACCGTGGCTAGGCCCCGGGAGCTCGCTGCCGACAGGGCGGGATGGGTGCTGTGCGGGGATGGGCATGGCCCCAGCTGCGGGGCGGGAGGGCGAGATACACCAGGAGGCCAGAGGGGACTCTGGAGCCAGCGGGGAGGGAGGGGCAGAGCCGTAGCGAGGGACACACGGTGCTGCCCCCATGGGGGGCAGGAAACGTTCGTGCAGGGCTGGAACCCTTCGTATACAACTATCCACGCCTGGCACTCAACAACCACAGACCAGCACCTGCCATCCTGTGGGATGCTACCCCGCCCCCCAAGCCGTGTGTCCTAGACCCCGCAGGACAGGCAGTTCCCCAGCATCCCCTCACCTGGCATAGTTGACCAGACACAGCAGCGTGGTCTCCAGGAGCTGCACCACCAGCAGCGGCCCCTTCACCTGCAAGAGCGGAACCTGCCCGGGAAGAGCCGTGGGAAAGAGGGGGCGCTCAGCCTAGCTCCAGCCCCTTCCTCACCCCACCCCCGCTCCCTGGCCTGCTGCTTCAAAGCCACCGGTGGCAAGCCACGCCCAGCCCCATACCAGGCCAACGCTCTCGTGGCACGTCCCTGCCAAGCCGCCGGAGCGATGCCGGATGCAACACCGCACTGGGTTCCAACGGCCCCCGACCCAGGCTAGGACTGGGACGCTCCATGCAACAGGGCTCTGGGGCTGCCCAGCAAGTCCTCCCCGCTTCTCTAGCACAGCGGTCTCCATCGCCCTGCTCAGTCACCCTAGCCCAGAACCTCGCCCACCTCTTTGGCTCCTCAGTGTCTCCAGGACCCAACCTTTCCCCCCCACTTCCCCCCTCCATCTCCACAGCATCCCTGATGCCCACCCCGTCCCGGCTGGCCCCTCGTGCTGCAATCGCCTTGGAATATCGCTAGCGTCTCTCCTGCAGGCTGGAGCTTTCAGCCGCCAGCGATACAGGAGCCGCAGCCGGATGGGACTAGACCCAGCTCTGGCGTTTAGCTGTCAGTCTGAAAGCGCTTCCCAAAGGAGGGCAGAGACTGCTTAGACCAGTGGTTCCCAAACTCTTCGGCATCACGCCCCCTTTTTTATTTTTTTGAAACCCTCCCCCCCAGCAAAACTTGTTGAGCAGGGGAGAAAAAAGGAACTGACCAGGGCAGCAAATCTTGAGGGGGGGAGGGGAGGGATAGCGGGGAGGCTGGGTTGCCGCTCGCGCACACGCACCCTGGAATTTCTTCAGGCTCCCCAGTTTGGGAACCCATGGTCTAGGAGATGCATTAGCATGGTCCACATGTTTACGTGACTGGTTCTGAAGTACAAAGTCATCCACCAGTTTGAGACAGTGTTCTGCACCATGTAAAACAAAGCTTTCAGCTTGTTTGCTTAAAGAAGCTTTTGCAGGGTGTAAGGAGCAGGGGGGCCGTTCTTTCTCCTTGCCTCACCCAGCCCAGTGCAAGGCGGAACCTCTGGCTGGAGGCACAGGAAGGGGCCTGCCCCTTATCGAGTCTGGTTTGACTCAGGTCTCCCTAGAGCTGATCTCCGGTTCTAGGTGCACAAACCTCCCCCGCCACAGGGATGCCTGGGCTCTCCGGGAACTAGTGGACGTCCTCGGTTCTCCTGCATGATCCCCTTAAAGCGCCCAGAGGCCTTTCAGTGACTCGGGGCAATTCCGCCTCCCACCAGCGTTCTGAGCGGTCAGTCCTCAGCTCCCGGTCTGGGGACCTTACACCACCAGGCTCAGCTCCCGCCCTGAATTTTCCCCACGTAGCTATGCATGGGCTAGTCCACTCGTTCGTCATTTCCCTGCTCTTTCTGCAGCTCCTCCGCCTAAGGGCCCTGCTCTGACTTGTCAGAAGCACCACCACGGGCTACCCAACCCTGGGGGGCAGCCCCGAGCCTTGGGGGCCTGATCCAGGCCTGAGGATCCCCACCCCTGCTCCCTGGACTAGCTCCTTCCTTTCCCCCATCCTACCGCGCCTTCTTTGGAGCACAGAAGAGTCTTTTCGTAAGACTGCTATTTGGAGGGCTAAAGCCTTGCTTCATTTATCTAAGAACCCTTCGCGCAGCACAATCCTTCATTTGCAGGAAAAGCGCCTCCTTCTGGTCTTGAAGGATCCAGTGTGAACTAAACCTACAGTCACACCGGTTTCAGCGAACGCAGCCAGAATCAGACTGAGCTCTCCTTGCACCAGCTCTCACCCTTGCCCGCTGGTGCGATGCACACGCGCCTACAGACTGAGATACGCAAACAACCCTGCAGAGGAGATCGCCACTCCAGCACAAAGGGGCAGGGAGAGAAGCCAAGAGAAATGCATTGTTTGAGCCATCCACACTAGACCACTAGTGCCCGGCTATCGTGTAGCACCTTTTATCCGGAGCTCTAAAAGTGCTTTACAAGGGACGTCAGTCTCATTCTCCCCATTGCACAAATGGGGAAACTGAGGCACAGCGGGGTCCCGTGGCTTGCCCACGCGGGCCACGGGGGCTTGCCCCCGGGGCCCAGTGGCACAGCCAGGAAGAGAATCCAGCTCTCTCTACTTTCAGACCAACCCTTCGGGCACCCTGACTCCGGAACAATTCACTCAGGGCCGCCTGAGGATCCCCAGACGGCACCCGAGGCCCAGCGCGAACCGACGCTAACGCCCACCCTGGCGAAGACGACAGAGCCCTCTGGCACAGAGGAGACGGTGACTTCGGAGGCGTCCACGGTGCGCAGGTAATCGAAGAAAGCCTCCTCCATGGTGCTGGGCAGGACCGACTGCAGGTACTCGATTTCTAGAAAGCAGCCAGAGATTGTCGGTCAGCCCGAGCATGGAGGAGGGAGCAGCGCCCCTCCCGCCAAGGGAACAGTGTCCTGGGGTGGTGGGTTTAGGTCCCCTGGGGAGGGAGAATGGCAGGGAATTTTTTCCTGCCCCTCCACTAGCCCTCTAGGTCCCATCTCCCTTACCCCACTGCAGCTCCAAGGCAGGACAGCACAGACTCTCTCCTGCTGCATCCCCATCACACAGCCCGGTCCCAGCTACGCAGACAAGACCAAGCAGGCTTGTCTGGCACCCGGCCGGCAGCAGCTGCAGGCAGCACAGTTCTGAGCCCAAAGCAGGGTTTTGGGGAGAAAGGCACAGGGTGTGGGGGGTTGGGGGGGATGATGGATGTAATGCCCACTGACAGTGAAAAGTATAATCCCCCATCGCTACCTGCTGCATCTGACCGGAGAGGACCCTTCCAGCCAATAGGGATCCAGACCCCACGCAAGAGACACTCAAGTTTGACTGTAATCAGCTTTATCTGCCAGCTGAAAGCAGAGTTAGCATGCGGGAGAATTCACACTTGGCATTTCTGCAGCCACTTCCCTCCCTGTGTCTCCGCTCTGGGCTCTGCGACCACCCTGCAGGGAAGGGGAGAATTCTGGGGAAACGGGGCACAAGGCAGGGACGGGACTTGACCAAGACAGCTCAAAGCATGGGAGGCGAGGGGGGGGGTGGAGGAGCACTCAGATCTCTCACCAACCAATCCGGCGCTCTAACCACTGAGCAACCCTCCCTCTGAACCAAGGACCTCATGCTGCCAGCTAGCAGAGGGCATGGAGGTCCATTGGGGCTACAGGGACCCTTTTGGTCTGGGGTTTAGGCCCTAGTCCACCAAAGAGCACCAGCTGAAATCTCTGCTGACAGCTTGGGTCTCACATTGATTATCACAAGCCTTGGCGGGGGGCGCGAGGCACGGACATGGGAAATCAGGTTCTTAGAGCCTGGTGGTTAAAGGCAGGTGACCCAGAGGGACAGCCCTTCGGCCACCACAGCTCCAAGGGAAGCGTCTGCACAGAGGGGATTCCAGGAGAGGACGTAACCCGGGAGAGGTGGCCAATGAGCGTTTCCGGGTGAAGAACGAACGACTGGCCTAGCAGAGGTAGGGATGCTCCGGCCCCTGGGGACGCAAGCTGCTGGCAGGCCCTGGCTCCCAGCCTTGGGAGGGTGAGCTGGCAGGGCTGAGACGGAAGTGGTCCGAAAAGCATTGCCCCGGAGGGTTTGCCGCCAGCTCTGCGCCTCAGGCCCAGTCAGCGCCGGCACCGCCACGCCGGCCTTGGTGTGCGTCTCACGCTGGAGTCCTCCAA